AGTGTCTGTGTGTTGGAAGTATAGGAAGTGTAGGAGGATCACTGTAGAAGGCAGGGCAAATTGATGAGTGCAAAGACCTGGAGACTTTTCCATATTGGGTTAAAGACACAGAGTCAGCAAAAGTAACCAAAATGGGAACGCCAGAGACTGAGATAATGGGGTCTAAGGAGTGCAGATTTTCAGGACACCAAATGCTATCAGAAGTCAAAGGAGGCAAGGACAGAAATGTTTGATGATAGAAATCCTCCCTGTCCACTGCTGGAGCAATCTCAGCGGTGACGTGGACAGACGTTTAGATGGAGGGCTGATTCCAATTTAAGGATGGTAATGTGCCAGCTCCTTATACAAACTTCACTGTGAACGGGGGAAGAAATCAGAAACCTGAGCAGTGACCACAGACAAGGAGAGAAAGCACTATCATGAAGTCACCAAACAAAGATATCCCAAGACATGCCCAATGCTTGGTTTTTAAATGCCAGAATCATCCAGCTAACACTCACACTTGCACTCAACTGTTAATAAGAAAAACCCTGAAATTCAATTTCTAAAGTCTTACCTTAAATATTTATGCTACCAGGTCACTGGGAAAAAATGGCTAATATAAAGAATTCAGTTACTATCTATAAATAATTTGGAAACACAATTGAATTAGTTTTTCCTAAGTCAGTTACCAAGTAGTCAAGATTAAATTAACTGAATAATTCTCACAACACTAAGTAGACTTGAGGTTGGTTGGGTAAAAATCCATTTGTGTAGCATCAATAGTTGAAGAAATTCAGACCAAAGTTTAAAAAGTTTCATTTTTAGGCACAGACGCATTTGATTTAATGTTGGGAACTTTGGCAGAGGCAAAAGCTAAATGCAAAAACATATTCACTAGGAATTGTCTAAAAGAACAAAACCTTAGAAACAACCAAAAACTCAACAATGGAAAAAAACAACATAAATTATGGACTTCAGCTTAATGGAATAATGCACACTCATTAAATGCATGAAACAAAGCTGAGTAAGATTGTTTATTCACTTCAACTGCAATCATATAATTATAAATTATGTATGTAAACCAAAAAAATTTCTTAAAGATAAAATAATATGCAAACTCAAAGCAATAAAAAAGAGCTATGTTGTAGGAATAAGAATTATTTTTCTTGCTTTTTCAAATTTCCCTTCAATGTTCTTATAAGAACATTCAGAATTTAGAAGGAAGAGAGAAAAAAAAGAAAAGGGAGACTGGGGGGTGGCTGGGAGAATAATTGAGGTCAGAAATCAATAGAAAGGAAGTGGTCTTAAACAGGAAAAAAATTCTAAAAAAAAAAATGCCTCTAAACATGTTTGTAGACTATTTGTAGACTGTGACTCATCCATAGACTCTGAGCCCTGTTTAGAACTGAGTCAAGGTTAAATGGAGTTACCCATGTGCAGGCATGACTCATTGAGACAACGTTGACAGGTACCCTGTTATCTATAAGTCAGTATCTGAAAATAGAGTTTTCCATCTTTTTTCATCAATTTTTCTTAAAACAAAGATGGCACACAGTTCTAGCATAAACTGTTAATACACTTAACTAGGGTTTGCTTTGTGCTTGTGGGGATTTTATTTTTCAAAAATTTTTAGTCACAATTTGAATAGACTCCAAATGAGGAGCCTTAGGTAAACTTAGAAGAACATGTTGGCAACAGGCCTTGTTTTAACATTAAGGGACTCAGACAAGCAAAGTCTGTGTCCCAACATTTCCAAACACTGCACTTCTTACATCGTATAATAACATCTCATCAAACAGTTGTTTCTGCTTACTGGTTCAGAGCTTACCATAGTTAGAAGGGAGCTGTGAGTCAGAGGGGCTCAACTCTGTGCTCCGACATTATTAGTTTGGAGACCTGCCGTGAGCTGCAGAAATGATCTGTACTTCAAATTCTTCATTGGCAAAATAGGAAGAGAGTACCCCTCTCTGGAGGTCTGGTAGATATTAAGTGAGATTAATGCATGCAGGGCAATGAGAGATATGTCTGGAACAAAATAAGCACACAGATAATGTTAGCTGCTATTATTATTAGGGACTACAGGGATCCTTGGAAGAACCACAGCTCTGGCCTTGAGAAAGCCTGTTCATATTACAACTAATAATTATAACATAAATAAGGACAACAGCCATGATTATTATATTGAATACACGCCATCATTTGAATGCATGTCCTCATCTGCATACACACCATCATTTGCATACAAAACACCATTTGCATCTTATAACTTCACGGCAGCTCATCAAGTCAGGTCTTGGATCCATTAGGAAGTTCAGAAAACTGAGGTCCAGGAAAACATATCAATTGGAAGCTTCTCCCAAAATGGAGATGTTAGCTATGAGATGAGGGAGGCTCTGTTTCAAAGCTACCATCTGAAGGATAGTGTCAACTGTCATGGCATGATCTAGAGGAGAGAAAACTGGTTGGGAGTTCATGATCTACCTTTTTGTTGACAAAGCCATTTAGGTGGGTTTAGAGATTTTAATGGTACTGTAAAACTGGAGTAATCGTTAACCAACGCATGAATTGTAAGTAACTTTTTTTTCCCAGCCGAGAAAAGTACTGAACTGGTGAGCTGCAAAAAACAGCACTCAGAAAGCTATACTGTAGCAGCCGAGTCCAAGGAGCCCTGGAATGTGATTATTCCTCAGACAGGCCTGCGGTTACAGCTGGGAAATGAGATCTGAATCCCACGACAGGAAGTTTCTACCTCTTCCTCCTCGAATACAAATTAAAAGATCACTGTTTGAAAAATACTATGATCACAACAGAAAGGGAGGATTTTTAACAATTTATGGAATAAATCCTGACTGGTTTTACCCATTGCTTTATAGAAGTATGTGCATTTTATCAGGGCTAGTGCTGTATATAAACCCCTTTTGTGTAGAAAATCATGGGAAAAGGTAACAACTTGCTCTAAATTCCACAGTCCCTAGCCATTCTCCATCCTATGTTCCCTCCATGCACACAATTTGTGCTTGTGTTCTTACACACCCCAAAAGAGAACACATATCCTTTCATGCACATCATATCATCATGATCCACTGTTTTCATCAAACACAACTCTCCTCGTTAAGGAGATGTGGGGTATGCTGATTTATTCTATTCTTTTTGTATTTGATAGTTTGACAGGAGCATGGCCCATGGTATTGGCTATTGTTGGAATGGTATTTTTAGTAACCTTTGGATTTTGATCACCCATCTTTGAAGACAGAGAGAGAGAGAGTGCCCAGTGAAAGACTGTTAGTGTGCCTGTGCTTTGGGTCCCGGATTCTAGACCCAATACAGGAGGGAAACAGAGAGACAGAGAAACAGAAACAGAAAGTAAGTGAGAGAAACACAGAGAAAAGAAAAATAAGAAAGTAGACTCAAGAGTGTCCTGTGTTTCAGACCTTCCTGACATGGTAGGCCATCAAAGAGTCATGATGACTTCCTGGAGATTCCAGTAAGCACATGTACAGGTGGATAAAGCCTCTTGAGAGTGTAACTATTATCAGGAAAAAGGTTTTCCTGTGTTTGCCTCTTCCAGGCATCTTGGGGTACTTCAAGTGTTTAGGTGTGTAAGTTTTCCTTAGCTCTATGGTTTCTCTGCCAAGAATGTTAGGAATAAAATATTATCACAAAGTTCTTTAAAATCTGATTATATTAGAAGGTTATTACTTCTCTAAAAATATGTTTCTGAGTTAAGATTTATTTATTTTTATTTCAGGTCTATGAACGTTTGCCTGCTTGTATGTCTGCGAACTACATGCATGTCCAGTACCTCTGGAGGCCAGAAAAGGACATCCGATCCCATAGAACTGGAGTAACAGATGGTTGTGAGCTGCCATGTGGGTGCTGGGAACTGAACCCAGGTCCTATGTAAGAATACTAAGTGCTCTTAACCACTGAGCCATCTCTCCAATCCCTTAAGCATTTATTTATTTTATTCTTAATTAATGTGAGTATGTGTATTGTGCTCAAGAGTGCAGTTGCCCACAGAGTCCCTGAAAGGGTGTCAGATATGGAGCTACAGTTGCTGGCAGTTATGAACCACTGGATGTAGGTGCTGGCAAGAAAACTCTGACCCTCCAAAATAGCAGCATATATTCTTAACCACTGAGCCATCTCTCCAGCATCATAAAACTGTATTCTGAAGGCAGTTTTTAGCAGCTTTATTTACACACAATAGTGATCTCTCCAATTGGAGTTTGACTTCACCTCCATCCACCCTTGTTCATAAAACACCCAACATTTCTGACTAATCAGTAAGTTGGGTCCATCATTAAGAAATTTATCCCAGGCCGGTGAGATGGTTCAATAAGCAAAAGCTCCAACTGTATAGGCCAGATGACCCAAGGTCAAGCCCAAGAAAACATGAAGGAAACAGCCAGAGGTGGTGGTACCCATCTCTAATCCCAATGGGATGGGGAGGAGGCCATGGGAGAATGGGCTGCATGCTCATAGGCTAGCTCGTCTGCAGGATTTTGCAGATGATGGAGAATCAGCTCCCACAGAGTTATTTTGACCTCCAAATGCACGCCCACACCAACGCCTGGACAGATATTCACACAATCACACACAAGGAATCAGTTAACGAACTGATTAATTAAATGAAAAGGAAGACATCTAGCACAACCATGCGTTTTTTTTTCTTCTAGTCTGTTTGTTCCCACCTAGAAAAGGCTTGGCTGCCTCTGACTTTAAGGATTCTGGTTAGCGACGGAGCTGTGTGGAGAGGACATGCTGATCTCAAAAAGGAAAAGAACCACAATCATGGTGTGGTCTCCGGAGAATACATTTATTTCTGCAGTATAAAACAAAATTAAATTCTTCAATCTCAAAAACTATTAAAAGGTTGTATTTAAAATGCATGAAGCATTAAAAAGACATCAAAATTAAAATAATCTCATAAATCTCTTCATTTAAAAGACTTATTAGAATACAGATCGAGGCAGAAAACAGCTGCCCCATACGCGGGAGCAGTAAATTATGACTATTTTAACTTTCTTTTATTTTCATCACTGGAAATTCTTTTCCAGAATAATCATATTGCGTAGCCAGACCAACTGTCCCATATATTTAACATGTGACTGGTAAATCACTTTCAGTGGACTCAGAGACAGATTCGCTGTGTGTTCTTTTAAAGATCAGCAGACCACAGGTTTGTTCCCTGCCACAGGATCCAGAAGGTACCCGCAGAAATTAACTCCTAATGGCAAATTGACCAAATTAATTATTATTCAAATTCAGCTTGCCAGAGCACTAGGGAAACCCTAGGAAACCCTGATACTGGAAGAACCATATTGTCTACCGCTTCCAGTTGGATCTGTCAGCTAAGACCCAAGGCAATAATCAACGCAACAAGAGCATCGACATGCACCCAGTTGCCATAAATCATTAAACGCCCCCCAACTCTCCTTTATAAGTGACTGACAACTAGGTGAAGATCTTTTCTTTAAAAATAAAGGTTCTCGCGCCGTAGACCAGCACTGTCAGTGTCAGTCTGGACTGTACGAGAGCAGTCCTTGGAGTACAATTAACCTATCATGTTGATAGCACCTCAGGGCCGGCGAATCCTAAAAGGAGGAACAGAAAGCCCAGAAGCGCACCATGAGGCCTCATGCCACAGCCTCCCTCCCCCATCGGATTCTTCAAGAACACACTGTGAGCTGAGCAGAGCTATTTTTGATAGAGAACGGCGCGATCCGCTTTGAAAGTCTCACACGAAGATAAAAGGTGTGTCCCATAAAGCTGCCTCCTATTTTTATCGTCTCCCTTCCGCGGGTGGACTCTGGCATCCGTCCCGGCTGGCAGAGATATGATTAGTAAACAAGGGGGCTTTATGAGGCGCTGCTTAAACACCCTGAGTCCACCTGAACTGATGCGGTAGTTAGTGGTCTGGGATCCTTTTTTTGGCTTTCTCTCCTCAGGAGGCAGCGCTGGTGGCAGAAGGAGCGCTCTCTGGCAAAGCAGCATCTATCTTTGTGATTCCACACACTTCCCATCGCCTCGGCTGTGCAGGCTGAGCAAAGCTCCTTATCTAAGAGCCTGGAAAGGATAACGGGGCTGCTGGAGTATAAAAACTGCTAGTATTTTATTTATCTCTCTTTCTTTCTGCTTAGATTACCATTATCTTTGGTCACTGAATTTTGTCTTTTGGACTTCAAATGAAGAGTGAAGTCAAGCAGAAGATACCCTCTAAGCCCAATGGAGCACCTCTCCCTCAGTGCATATGCACAAAGGTGCACGTGCACATACACACACACACACACACACACACACACACACACACACACATACACACATACACATACATACACACACATGCACACATACACATACATACACATATACATATACACACACATACACACACACATACACACATGCACACACACATACTCACATACTCACATGCACACATGCACACACACATACATACACATACATATATACATGCACACACATGCACACACACATACTCACATACACACACATGCACACACACACACACACACACACACACACACACACACACACACACACACTGGCACGCATGGCACACATCCTCCTCGCCTTTCTTTGGCTTTACCCTAGGGTTCCCTTCCTCATGAGTACTGGTAGATGACCCAATGACCCTTGCATAATAGTTACACGGTTAAACAATGTGAGTTCTACAGATGCTTCCAGAACCATTATTTAAGGTGATACTCAAAAGTAAGGGGAGCCAGGGAGATGTCTGTCATCTGGCCGACTATCTATATGAGGGGATATTGCAAAAAACGACTGCTAACTCCATTACTCTTTGTTTTTTCTTACAGATACGTAGAAGGCTTTAAGAAGACATGGAGATGGGTGAAAAAGCAGTCCCTATCTGTAAAGTTTCCATCACAACAGAGATAGGTATGCGATTTTCTGGTTATGGTAAGTAAGATTAGAGCAACAATGTGGTTAAATGTCAAGCAGCATCCTGCGGGCACATGGGATCTGTTTGGGCTAGAATAGTCTCCCACATGAAGCATGGGGTTTTGATATTAGTGAGAAGGGGCAAACACGGGTAGAAGAGAGGTTTCCTGGAATTTGGGTCACCACCACCTCTTGTTTGCAGGGTGAGTCTCACATTTGTAGTTCTCAACGCAGAAACACGGAAACTGCATTGATTGCTGCTTCATGTTATTTGTTTTTATCATTGATAGTCACATTGAAATTTCTCCTTCAAAAGGCAATTCTGAGACACTGCTGTAACTGGAAAGCCAATGCCTCATGCCCTACATATGACAGAATTATGAAAATAAGACAAAGGAAAGCAGAAGGTGGCATGAGCCTGGCCTCGGGCTGTTACAAAGGTGAGGCGATGTATCTACCACCCAGCTAGTCCACTCCTCGTACATATACCAGAAGGAATAAAAGTCAGCATGTAACAGAGATCTCTGTAAACCCATGTTTAATGAGGCACTATTTGCAAGAGTCAAAATACAGAATCAGTCTAGGTGCCCTCAGTGGGTGAGTAGATAAAGAATCTGGGATATATATATACATGACGGAGTATTATTCAACCATAAAGAAGAATAAATTCATTTGTTTGTAGGAAGATGGATGAAAGTAGGGTGAAACTAGACTCAGAAAGGCAGACACCATGTTTTCTCTCCCGTGCAGAATCTGGGTCTAAGAAAAAAACATTAAAGTAGGAGGGGAATATGGGAAGGGATGTAAGCACAAGGGAGAACGGGGGACAGGAGGAGGTTCATAGGTGATTCCAATCCAAGTTCACATGAAAATGTCCATGTTGAATCTCATTCTTGTGTACAATAATACACGCTAAGCAGAGAGAGAGAGAGAAACAGACAAAAGGAAGGCAGAGTAACAGGGTGTCGCAGATTCACCAGCAGCAAAACCAAGACCCGCTCCTTGACATGTCCTGAGGGGCCGAAAGAATTCTAAACTGCGTCAAGTACTCAGAAGTCACTCAGGTACCACAGTGGCATGGTGGGTGGTAGGGTACTCATGGAGTCATTGTGAGCTCTTTTAACAAGGCTATCACTGTCCCTCGGGAGCTGGTTTTAAAAAAAAAAAATGTAGGAGGAGAGAGAAGCAGAGATACTCATCTAGTTAAGAGATACCAAAAGGCTTAACTGGAACAGTGGGAGGTGGGATGGAAGATAGGTTGTGCTGCCCCCAGCAGTATCCTGTCCTGTCATTCCATGTCACACTGTGCTGATGCTCCCCCACACTGCTCATCCTTTCTCAGAGCCAAGTCATTATTAGTGCTTTTCATCAAGTCAAAGATGTTATCAATTGTGAGCTACACCATTATTTTATGTGCCACTAAGAAAGAAAAATGCTGCCAATTAAATGATGATACACCATCACTTGTTAGAAGCATCCAATTTGAGAGATGCTAAAATGGAGGTGGGGGGTACTCGTCTTGGAATCAATGAGACACATTATTAATCACTATTGCTTAAAAGCAAATAATGTAGACCTTGGAAGTTAATTGGCATTCAGAAAACAATGAAAGGGCGTATCTGGTGCAATGCCCTGCTGGGTAGAACTAGAGCAAAAGACTGGCATCCTTTAGAGATGAGGCAGGGTAGAATTGTGATTCCAAGCCGAGCCAGGGAGATCCAGGTTTGAGTCCCACTTCCATCGCTTACTAGCCATGGAAACTTAATGAGTAACAAAATCTCAAAACTTAAGTTGCTTCATCCAACATTGACATACCCCTCAATGGAAAAGTATAAGGACCTTAAGCATCTTCCTGCCTCGATTGCCGGAAGTGTCTTCCAACAAAAGCTAATCACCATTAGTAACTCATGATGTCAGTGGTCATTAGTTAGAAAGACTGTTTTTTTATCTTTATTTTATGAGATCCAAAGATCCAGCATCCCCCATGGCACAAGCCTTATTGATGACCACATCAATAACACAGATATTAAAACTGATTGGCAAGAAATAGAGTGGGGTTCTATATGAGACCACTCATTTTGGCTGGTCAGTTTACAATGCCACACTCAAGCTCCCCACAATTTACTGTCCCAGGGCTCTTCCTGAATGACAAATATGTGCCTGTGAAAATCTGTGTCTGTGAACCATCCTAAGGTGGATACATGGAGTGTTGTACCCCATAGGTTAGTACTTGGGGCTCTTTATGGTAAGAAAGCTGCAACTTTTTAATGTCTGAGGTACTCTGTAGAATCGTTCAAATTTCACCACAACCTAAGCCTCATGCCAGGCCAAAGAAATATCAAAGATGACACTGTTGAATACACAGAGGAAGACACCAATTCAGACATATCACAGTGGGACCTTCCTGGTGTCATGCCACTGGAAGTTATGGGACCAGGAAAGGAGACCAGAAGGATTCTGGGGAATGTGCCACTCTCAAGGACAGTCACAGAAAGAAATAGGACTCAGTAGGCAGTAGTATCGCTCTAGAGCAAGTATACAGTACTACCTCTTAGGACAGATGGGGACAGTGGTGAAGGCATAGAAGGCAGCTGGACCTGCAAGAAGCTATCTCTAGATTCACCTCTAAAGTTAACAAGCTTGCAGGGATGAGGGGCGGGAAGGGGATGTTAGGCAAGTTTCTAGCTCTCTCTGCTAGGTGAAGGTTCCACCTAATCTCTAAGAGAAAGTCTGTCCATAAGACTCTTCAAGTGCTCAGCCCTAAACAGGACATTCATATTACCTCCTCTAAGGCTCAGGGAACAACACAGAAGAAGAGGCAGAAAGAATGTAAGAACAGAAAGATAGGGAAAGGGAATGTAAATGCTGTCTTCTGCGCATGGCACCGCCAATGCGATCATGATCTCAGTGTCTGTCTCCAATGGACCTGTAAGGACTAGGCCTGTCAACAATCAGTTAAGGATGGGGAAGGGCCTACATGAACCTACCACTCCGAGTTGAAATATGGGCTACTAATAGATTCTAGAGTAGGGAAGACATTCTCTTTGGTTGTGTACCGACTGATAGATAGCACTGGTTAATCTTAGCAGGTCACAAAACAAGACAAAAAGACATGAATATGAGAAAGGGACTTGCAGGAAATGGGGTGAGTAATAGAGATTAGAGGGAAATGGTGAGGAGAGGGTGACAGTAATCAGAAGACATTTTATACGTGCATATTTGTTTGGTGTGTATTTATAAGAATGAATTTAACAGAAATTTTAAATTTCTATAGATGTATTCATTGTTGAAATATAACATATATACTATGTAAATTCTTATTTTTCCTTTAAAAACATAATCTAATATCTTGTAATGCTCTAACAAAATTATAGTTTTTAGAGAATATAATATAAATATGGTGATTTTTTTTCAGCAAAATATAAAGAGGGTCATTGGGTCTTGACCCCTAGAGTCAAGCGCTAAAGTGCTCTGATGTATTCTTGCTGTAGGCATGCTGCAGTGCAGACTGAATGAGACTATGTCTACCAAGAGCACTCAAGGGAAAGACAGATAATATGTCTTATTGTGGAGCACTCTCTGTTGGATGGGTGGTATCATTACAACCTGCTCTACTGTGAAACAACCAAGGTAAATTGCTCTGGGCTCTAAGTGCAATCTTTTCCTCTTCCTCTTCCTCTTCCTCTTCCCCTCTCTCTCCTCCTCCCTCAACTCCCTCTTCCTCTCCATCCTGACAAAGCAGAATTCATATGGCCCTAGCGGTCAATTCATTGATCAAAGCTCATTGCACTGGCCGTGACTCATGCTTCAGACACAATGATGTAATACTCTCCATGACTCCCTTTCTTCCACTTCTTCTCATTTTTTCTGGTCTCTTTCTAGAAAGTTCCTCTAACTTCCACAACTAGATCCTCTAGGCAAAGGCTATGAACTCAAACACAGGACTTGTAAAACTCTAATCCCCTCTACTTGTCAATTATATAATCTCATTCATCCCTACATTCCAAAAGGGAGACCCCAATAACAAGGGCTAGAAGCTTCTGGAACATGTTCCTTGAGTGTTGCTAGTAATAGCCAATGAATACATAAGTCCAGCAATAGGAAACATGTATGTAGTGGCATGCCTTTATTCTGTTCTATTTCTATACACTGGGAATGCTTATTTATAAAGTAAATGTTAACATGCAAAATTATACCTGTATAGAATATTTTGCCTTGTGGAAATGCTTATAAAATTTTCACATGAATTGCCTAAAAATAACTAATATTGCTCACTCTGAGTGATAATGATAAATTCTGTTCAAATTTCTGACAAAGAAAACAATTTACATTTAATTTCAACAATTTTATTTTCATTTTTAGATGTCCTGCTTGATCCTTTTTCACATCTTCCTAGTTTCTTTGGAAGACTTTTGGGTCTGCAGATTACATAAGTCTGTTTCTGTGTTCTTGTTTGCAGGTCTCTGACTTCACTGAACACTTTAAATCTGCTTGTCTCATTGTCCGTATAGTTTTTCAGTGTCGTCATAACTCTGATGGGTAACCTACAACAGACTTAAGGGTCTTGTACTGCCGGTTGTGTTTTCCCTCGACTCAAGTATGTAAGAAGGAGATTCCTTGTGAGTTTGCAGTTCTGGATTCTGAAGTGATCTAGGTGGTTCTAGAGCCTAGCAACCTGACAACACTAATCACGGTGATGATGAGGCTTCTGACAGTGGCGGAGGTGCTGATGGCTTTTAAATGTATTCATGGACAACGTGAGGGCCACAGGCCAAGTGATGAAGTACAAAAGCCAGTGCAGAACAAATGGAACCTTCTTTGTTTGGACAAAGCAGAGTTCAAAGTTGCTCATCATGTCTGGAACATCTGAAATTGCATCAGATAGATGTATGTAGGTACCCAAGATACCCCTTATTCTCGCAAGAAATATTAGTATTCATGCAGAAGAACCACAGTGTGTATTATCATGGTACAATTCACCGGCATGAGGTTTCAAGCTTCCAGCATGAGATCAAGGTATACTGCATACTGAACCCAAGGTCTACAAAGGGTGCCTTACTTCTACTGTTCAAAAACCCTCATGCTTTGAGGTACAAAGAAGAAACCACCCCACCTTCAGGGATTCACACAGTTAATGTTTCCTGAGCCCCTAGCATGTGCCAGGCTTGGAGCTTGCTGTTTTCCTTGTTCACCTCTCCCTGTCTTAAAAAAAAAAACCTCTAAGAGAGATGCTTAGTACCCACCCCCAAAAAGGAAGGAGCACAGCAGGGCGGTTGAGGGCATGATTTCTGGAATCAGTGCATCTGGTCTGAATCCCGATTCTGTCATTCACCTTGAGCAAAGCGATTTCACTTTCTTGGGATCCTAATCTACCAGTAGGTATAACAGTAAGGGCTGACTAGAGGTGGGGGGCAGAAGGGTTAGTCAATTGGAAGCTTCAGGAGCAGTCAAGGCCGAGCTATTACTATCTTACTGGCAGACAAAGGAACAGAATGTGATAGAAGTCTGATTAGAGGCTGCAAAGACAGCTCAGAGATGAAGAGGGCTTGGGTTCCATTATCAGCACCTATATTAGAGAGCTAAAAACTGCCTGCAACTCCAACTTCAAGGAAGATCTGACACCTCTGGCCTCTGAGGGCATCTGCACTCACATGCACACACCCACACAAAGACATACACACGTATGCATGGTTAAAAATAATGAAAAGAAATCTTTTTTTTTTAAAGAAGTCAGATTCGATTGCTTAGTTTTTAGAAGCAAAGCTGGGACTTGAACACACCCACTCCACTTGAGGCCCTGAATGAAGTGGTGTGACACACAACACTGTCTCCACACTATCTGACCTCTGTCTTCAGACCCACACCTGCTCACATACTGTGGCCTAAGACAGGAGTATATAGAAAAAAGGTATGTCCTGTTCTCTGGGCCTGGTCAACTCTTGACCTGCCTTAGCCTAACTAGAGGCGGTAGATGACTTGTTAGGGGCAGAGAGGGATAGATGTCAGAGACTTGACTCCTGCCGTTGACTTCCATGCCCCAGCCATCAGGTGGTTAATACTGAGGAAGATGAGGATTGTGTTTTCCCCCACCAACATGCGCACTGTTTGAGAGCCCGTGAACACCATCAGCACCAAGCAAACCTGTCTCTGTTCCAGGACCTTCTCAATATGAACCTCATGAAGAGCTGCTGAGGCAGAGACTGTCGTCTCTGGATAAGGAATCTGAGACCTGGTGTGGTCAGGCCAACTGTCCAAGTACGGACGGTTAGACAGCAGGGTTGGTGCTCAGCCCAGAACTGGGTCACAGTCCTTCTACTATGTTAGCCTAAAACCTCAACCAGGGATGACGACGGAAGTCAAATGACACAAGCTTCCACAGCGGCCCAAGACTCTGGAGACAAAGCCGGGGCTTGAACTTGGCTCCGTCTGCCTTCACTACGGCTCCCCTTCTAGCATCCGGCTACTGAGGGACTGTTGCCCCCTCAGTGCTGTGATTGCTCTAGACTCTAAGCCCCATGAGGACAGGATGAGAGTCAAACTAACTTCCTATTGTATCCCTGGAAACTAGGACAAGTTCTTGGCTCTCCTTAAGGGACTGAACAAATATTTCTAGAATGAATGAGTTATGAACAAATAAGCAAAAGAAAACCTCCACCTCACTCCTTACAATGACTCTGTGAAGCAGAATTTGAATCCTATGCATGCAGGCAAAGCAATGAAATCCCCTATCAAAGGTCATACGAGTTAATGAATGGTACAGATGAAATTCAAAAGCAGCATATCTGCTTCCCAAATCGTATCTCCTATTCCCAAAGGAGACAATGTCACTCCCCTACTGGGGCTACTTTGAAGATGGAGGGAGATAAGGAGTATGAATGAATGTGTTGTGCAAACTCTGCACTTTAAAAAGCTGGTAACTGATTTCTTAACACAAAATCAAAGCCTAAAGCCAAAACAGCACAACTTAAGTGGAATTTTAAGTACTGAGAAGAAAGAAGTGTATTTGAGAGGGGCAAAGAGGGCATAGAGGAGAGCCATCAGTAGCTTTGAAATCAAATCACACCGCTCCAGGCGGCCGCCTTCTCAGTGTGTAGATGGAGAATAGCATCCCCAGTTTCCAACCACAGATTTGCAAGATTATCCAAGGAGCACCAAAGCAACACCCTGCTCGGTGTGGGACCCTCAGCAGACTGTCAATCAAACCTAACTGCTTGACAGTGACAACACAGCATAAGGAAGAAGTATCCCGGATTCAAGAGATGCACTGCCTATGATCCTTGCTCAGAAAGTCCCTTGAACTTCAGTGCTGTTTTTAGATTCCTAGGCGATGTGTCTAGCCTAAAACTCCCATGGCTAAATCAAATGATTCAATTAAGCTTGCACAGCAAATTAGAATTTAGCAACACCTTGCATCTAAGGAGTGTTTAGTGCCATGCTCCTGTCTCTGTTTCTTGTAATAGCCATATCCTCATTTTCTTTTTAAGCAGAACCTAGATACATGCACAGTTATTTACCCACAAGACCAGCAAATTAAAGCCCAGGTGCAAACATGGGTGCTGGAGAGACTTCCACTTTCTTTTCATCCCCCCAAATATGGCTTAAACCAGATGAGGAAACTGATAACAATTGGGTCTGATATTAGCCACAAACGCTTGTGCAAAACAGAGGTGGAGTACCAGCCTTCGGTGGTTGATAAAGTAGACATCTTTCTCAGATCTCCAAAACCTGGATCATCGGGCTTGGAAACCCATGAGGATAATCTTGGGAGGTTTAGGGGTTTTTTTAAGATGATAAATAAGGCATGGAAAAACTGAAAGATTATTGGAAAATGCTTCAAGAATGCTGCCCTAAGTAAAACCCTCATATCTCTACCTTATCCCCCATTGGGAGGGGAAAAAACAAAGCCTTTAGCTGGCAGCTTCCAAGGGTGAGTTCAGGGGCTCAGGGATGAGGGCACAAAAGCCCGTGGCCACTCAGTCTTAATTCAATGGAACGCAGGCCCAGAGTTGCCATGGTTTGTGGAATTTTTCTAGAGAAACCAGATTTTTTTTTGTTTTTTTTAATTGGGGAAAGTGAGGAGTAAAGATTTCTGATTCTTAATTGGTGACCAATAAAAAGGTTTGGACAAGCCACCACAAGATGACAGTCTGCAGCCTTTCTCCCGTAGAATGATGTTATAGTGCCTATCACACAATAAACTCACACTGGACTTTAAAGACCCCACTCTCCACCCATCAGCTGTCAGTTACCCCCCTTTCCCAGCGACCCTTTAAATTTCTTCCCTGAGCTTCACTTTCTCCATCAGCAAAATGAACTTGAGGATGTCTGCCTTGCTTATTTCATCCAATTTTTGCACAAATCCAATAAAATAATCATTTCAAAAGCAAGAAATGTTCATTTTATGTTCTGAGTGCCAGTACGAAATCAAAATAGAGTAAAATAAAGCTAAAAAGTCCCTCAAACTGGAAAGCATGTTGAATGCTGTAAAATGGGTACTGAATGGGAAGTATCCCCCAAAATGGAAGTCCTCCAAATTTTTAGTTATCTAGAAAGCATGCAGGTGGCCAGTGTATTTTCCCTCCAAAAGAGTTCATTCAACAGAAATAATGGAAAGTATATGTTTAGTACCAGGAAGTGAGAGAAAGAGGGAGACAGAGAGAGGAAGGAAGAGGAGGAGGAGGAGGAGGAGGGAGAAGAGAGAGTGCTTTTATGCAAATTTTATTTCCCTATAATAACTAAAACTATTCTGCTAGAAGGAATTATCTCTATAAGCTGGCAGCTGTGGTAGGCAGTGAATTAAAAATGGTTCTGGCTATGGGAAAATCTGTTCTATAATCGGTGCTATTCTTGGCGAGAACATCAATCCAGCCCAGTTCCCATGATGCTCCACTGTGTGAATGACATACAAGAGTGAGATAGAAACTTCTATGATACCACCCATGGGTATGGTGCCCCACCGAAGACACCACACTGTTCTCCAAAGAAGAAAGTGAAGCCATTGGTGGCCTCTGATCAGCCGAGAAAGCAGAATCCCTTCACTTGACCCTGGAGGACAAACCAGTCTACAATGCTTCATCCAATTCAGCATTCCTAGATTGCTCAGACCTAGTACAGAACAAGATTTTGTACATGTCTTTTCTCATGCCACTCCTCTCCGCCTCCCTTTCTATTCTTCCTTCTCCCTTGACCCTTTTCCCTCACTTTCTTCCTTTCCCTCCCTACAGTTCTAATACAAAGTAAAAATGTGAAACTCAAACCTGGAAGCACAAGGTGATGGTTCTTTGTTTGTGGGAAAGGCACATGCTATAGAAACAGGTCTTAAGCAGTAAGCAGTCATTGTCATGCTATACCTAAAGTGTCATCATATTCTTAGTGATGCAACTGCTTGCCCAGTAGAAATACCTTCACCCTTAGTGGTCAACGTGCTCAAGGTAATATAGGGGCCAGTGTGGCAGCTACAACCAGTACCCTACAAAAGGAAGTCAGGATTTATCTGTGTAGGTAGGCATGACACTTACAAGTGAATCCTAGCTCCTCATTGGACCAAGAATTTTCCTGGGAACATGTGTCCCCCTTATACCTGAGGTACCTGTCTTCTCTCCCTGAGTCATAGGCACCATCTTTGCTTCTACTGTAGTAATGCATTTAACTCCCTTCATATCCTTTAAAGCAACCACAAGTCAGTACTAGGAATGCCAAGGGATTGGCAGAACTAGTCATCCTGCCCTTCCAAACATTAGTCAGCATCCAAAGTCCATCATCCTGGAGACCAACCAAGCTACCCACATTCATACCCACAGGGAAAATCAGTCCTCTGTGAGGACCAAAGGAACTCCATTCTAGCCCAACGGTCAGGGAAAATCTCAAGACGGCAGTGAACAAGGCCACGGGTTAGAGCAAGACTACTGGATTCCACCTTAAGACTGCACATCCAGCACCAAGCCAATCCTAAAAAGCTCTACAGAGATGCAGGAAAGGCTGCTGCAACTCAGCTGTGTTCCCTGGAGAACAGGAATTGCTCCTGATATCAGATATCGCCACTTAAGACGGGGGAGCCATTCTATATATCTCCGTGTTCCCCCGGGCTGGCTTCCTTCCGGACTTCTCTCTCTCAACCCAGGCAGCCAACAATGCATACCAGGCACCGTGAGGCATGCACACATTTTTTTTAGCCCCACTTGCTCTCTCTTTGAAGCTCCTGAGAGCTCCAAAGTCTTCACTACAGGCACAAAAGCTGACTGCATTCTCACTTCCGTAGGAAAGCAGAACAGGGTGGCACCGCAGGGTTCCTTTAAAAGACAGCTGCGTCCATTTTGCTCATTACTCTTCATGTATAAACTGCAAATTGCATTTGCAAATATTTTCTTTAATATAAAATTGTCATTTCTGAGCTTCCTGCAGGCGCCCGGTGCCTGGGCAAAACAAATAGCACTAATGTAATCTAGGGTGGGTATCATCCTACAGCCTTTGCAGAGGGAGTGGCCACACCCTGCTGACCCCATCACACAGGGAAAACGCACAGCGAAGGGGATGTTTGTGTGACATACATCATTTTCCTACATGGGGAAGCTGTGGCACAATTTGCTCACAATCTCTGGATTCTCCTGGATCTGGTCCAGCGACCCTCAGTTCTTAAGAGAGATTAAATACATCTGCAAAATCCTCATTTCTACTCACACCAACCTTGTTCTCTTTCTCCTGGACCTAGGTTGGTTTTCCCTAGAAGTTCTAAAAATAGAACTAATCCACCTGAAAGAAAAAAAAAAGAGTTAAATAGAAGATACCGTCACCTAGAGGCTTGGCACAGGGGGCCTGTGCCTCAATTATCGCCTCTGTAAAATGGGGGATATGAAATGTCCCCTCTGCTGCGTTGTTGATGAAAAGTAAATCTGGCAATCAACCTGAAGAGATGCTTAGCACTGGTTAGCACACAAGTACAAATGTAGACCCATTCCAGACCCGTGACGTTTCAGTTCGCAAAATGGGAGGCAAGTATTTTAAAGCTTCTTTTTTAAAGGCTCAATCGGAGCCAAAAGCCCAGGATCCAACACTTGAACCCACAAATCAATTTCGCCATCACGAGAGAGAGGAAAACTGATTCTGCTCTTCCCAGAGTGATGCTATAAGACCTACGCACCACCACCCACGCACTGCTTCTACCAAATCCTTTGGTCCTGAATGCTATCAAGCTTCTGGATGTTGCAGTCCGTTTACAAATGTGAAATGAAGGGGACAGAGATGCACTGAAGATGCTGGCCATGAAACGCAGGCCAGGGAATCAAACAGATGAACCACCCCGCTGCTTAACAAATGACTGCAAGTGAAGGAAATTGGAGAGGGGCCGTCTTAGACTAAAAGAAACGGGGATGTCACACCCACCAAATGCGATGCATAGACCTCTTTTTTGTTCCTGCTTTGTGGTGGGGGGGGTTCAAATTCCATCAATTGGAACAGTAACTGGATATCTATGATAGTAAGTAATTCCTATTTGTTAGCTGTTTTTCCCACTGGGAGAGTCTAATTCCTGTATGTTGAGTCTCCCGCAGTCTTGATGACTGGCTTCTTCAATGGAAAGAACCAAAAGTATGTAACTCAAAACTAGGTCATTAATGCCTCCAACTTCTGTGCATGCATCTCTAAACCCTTGCTCTTGGGACATTAGGTCTGAGAACTCAGCAACTATGCTTGGAGAAGAGACACACGTGAGCATCTCTAAGAAGTTAATGGCCACATCTGTGTCTCCAACTGAGCATCAGATGAGCAAGTGATCCAGAGATCTATGCTCACACATTCCCAGATGCTGCCACCCTATGGGAAGGTGATCATAGGCTCTCTGGACTCCAAATGAAGTCAGTCAGACCACAGAACCATGAGAGATAACTTTGAGCTGGCATCCAAGCCAATTGGAAGGTAGTCCATTATACAGAAAAATACACTTAGAAAACAGGATCTCATGGAGACATATTCTTAGATGGTAACAGAGGAAAAAAGGGATCTATTTGAGACTTTCAAATCCATCCAGCTAATAATTAAAATAAGCTTAGCCGTGAATGACTTTGTCCACATGCAGATAGGCATCAGGAGGGAATATGCTCCTCTCCTCCTGGGTATTTTGGAAATGGTTAGGAGGTTCTTTGTTAGAGCTCTAGATTTAGCAGGACGCAGTCTGAAGTACACAGAAAGCAGAAATATTAGTGGATGTCAGGGGATTCTACCCGGCAGAAGGAACCACAAATGTAATTTAAATGATAAGTCTTGGTGCATTTGCAGTTACCTGTCCACATGTGGAAGTCCATCTTGGAGATGACAGCAGCAGAGAAGAAGGAACCTAGAGACAACAGCAGCAGAGAAGAAGGAACCTAGAGACCACCGTGACATTCAAGCCCCAGCTTCACCTCAAGCTGGAAGTCCTTGGCCACATTCTCCAACCTCTCTGAGCTTTGCTGGTTCACATGAAAAGAATCTCTGCCCTGATGAAGCTGCCATTGCTTAGAGTGTTAAAGGGGCAGGGACTAGTATGAAGTACTATAAACACATGCACATAACTGTTGAAAGCTGTAACAGAAAAAAGTCCTACTCCCAAGGCTCTTGTCTTTGATCCCTGGAGATGCTTGTATCTGCCAACTGGTGCAAAGAGTGTGAAACTCTTGTTCTAAAACACACATCACACCCAGGAACTGGACAGAATGGACTTCTCTTGGGAGAATATTTTGGAAAGCCCAGTGAAAATCAAGCTGTGTGGGGTGTTCACCTGGGAGCTTGGGGAATCTTGAAGAGGCATGTGCTCATCACTCAGGGTATCTGAAATGGAATTTCTCAAGAAAGTTATGTGGTTGTCAGTCTAGGAATATGTCATCCCTGGACCAGAAAGTCATATGTGCTGGCAATGGGAGGTCAACCCAACTGTTTCTCCCTGAGGGCAACTCCATGTCAGAGCTTGATGACTGAGCTGCTCAAAAGTTCATTGACATTCAGATAGTTAATTATTCTCACAAACAACACCAAGTAAGCTAGCAGATCACTAGCTTCACTAATAAACTAATCTACTAACAACATGTGCTGTGATATCAAGAACTATAATTCTATGTACATCTCTCTTTACGCACCAAGTTTTGGGGAAGAAAGAAAAAACTCTGTAACTGAAGCAGACTCCTCTATTAACCTAACTTTCCCTTGTGTGTGTATATATACACACATATATATGGGTGAACACATGTGTGGGCACAGTGGCCCATGTATGTGCATGTGCCTGTGGTCAATGCTGAGTGCCTTTCTCAATCTCCATCTTGTTTTCTAAGACAAGGTTTCTCACCGAACCTGGAACTCAGTGATTGGCTAGTCTGGTTGGCTATCAAGCTCCAGGAATCCTCCCACTTCTGCCTTCCCAATGCTGGTATGTTCCACCCAACTTTTTGTGGGGGTGCTGGGGATCTGAATTCAACTCTTCATACTTGTCTGGCAAACACTTTACTGAGTCATCTTTCTAAACCCTGCTTTTCTATTTTGATACTCTGTTATTGGGGGAAGGGGCCTCTTAACTGATTGTATTTAAAAAGTCACTGTAAATGTGTACATTTGTTAATGGCTGGTCATTTTCTAGTAATATATAACAATGTGTTAGGTAACATCAAATCGTAATAAAATAAAAAGCATCAGTGTAAGACATGGTTGCCTTTCTCCTCTCTACCAAAATACCTCTAGTGTGTGGCTATCTTTCTGTGCATTAATTGAAATGCCTTAAGCTAGCATTATCCAGAGAGTGACAGAGACCCCAGGACACCTAATTTTAATGGTGTTATATTTGCCATTTGAAGATGTGTATATATGTGGAAAACACGGGGTTAAACAACCTTAATGAGATTTTTGCATTTGGTGACAGCTGTTTTTAATGACAAGTCTCTTCAGAAACATTAATGTGTATGTTGTGAATCTCTAAAAGGTACCCAGACATGTTTTATTCAAGGAACTGTTCTCTGGATTCTTGTTTCTGAGAAGACCCAGGGGAAAGAAGAGACAGTAGCTGTACTTGGTAACTAACACTCCAGCAACTTCCTGTTCACTGATAATTTTACAAACTAACCCTGAGGTGCGCGTGTGTAAAAACAGGTCTATCAGGAGTTCATTGCTGGCCACGTAGTAAGTTCTAGGCCAGCGTGGGCTAGGTGAGACCTTATCTCAAAACAAAAGAACAAAACTAAGAGCCATCATAGCCACTGGACAATGACTAATTAAATTGAGTAGGTATTATATTTAATGGGCTTTTTTCATTAATTAAAACTTTATTTTAAATACCTTGCCCCCCCCCAAAAAAAGCAGTGAGATTAACCAGATCCAAAGTCTGTACATCTCAATGAACTTCTACACAGAGTAGCCAACATTTAACTGTGGTGCTACATGTTAGACTTTACATTTTTCACTGTCACATTTATCTGAGGCAGGGTCTCATTATGTAGTCTTAGCTGGCCTGGAATTCACTATGTAGACCAGGCTAGCCTTGTACTCAAAGAGATCCTCCTGCCTCGGTGAGAGAATTAAAAGTGTGAGCTACTACTCCTGGTTCAAATATATTTTATGCACTTATACACTACTATAACATGAAAATTAATGCATGACTGAGTTAAAATTAGAGAAATAACCGACCCTACATCCTCTTTCATGGCCCAAGTGTTTATTAGCTATATTCGGCCCCCATCATCACCCTTCCTTGTTATTTTATCCTTCCTTGTTAGCCTTATAACATGTAGATACCTCCAGGAGAACATTTAGATAGCCTTTATTTTTTAATTTTTAAATTATTTTCTAATTTTTTTTGGGGGGGGGGGGTTTGAGACAGGGTTTCTCTGTGTAGCTTTGCGCCTTTCCTGGAACTTACTTTGGCGACCAGGCTGGCCTTGAACTCACAGAGATCCGCCTGGCTCTGCCTCCCAAGTGCTGGGATTAAAGGCGTGCACCACCACCGCCCGGCCTATTTTCTAATTTTATGTGAATGGGTGTTTTGCCTGCATAAAGGTCTATGCACCACATGTGTGCCTGATGTCTGAAGAAGTCAAAAGAGGGTGTAAGTTCCCCTGAAACTGGAGTTACAGATGGTTATGAGACAACATGTGGATGCTGGGTAATCAAACCCAGGTCCTCTGCAAGAGCAACAAGGGCTCTAAACTGCTAAGCCGTCTCCCTGGGTTTTATCTTTTGTTTTTGTTTTTGCTTTTCACTTTTTTGTGTGTGTTTTGTTTTGTTGAGACAGGGTTTCTCTGCATAGCCCTAGCTGTCCTGGAACTCTCGCT